GTGATGGCATTGAGGCCCCTATAGTCAATGCACATCCTTAGAGTTCCCTCCTTCTTCTTAGGCACGAATAAAACTGGAGACCCATAAGGAGAGACACTCGGYCGGATCCAACCCTTCTCTACAAGTTCCTTGAGTTGGCGGCGAAGCTCATCAAGCTCGCTCGGAGACATCCGATAGATTCTACCCTTTGGAATACTAGACCCTGRGATAATCTCTATCGCGTGGACAACCTCCCTCTCAACAACCCCTGTCGGCTCTTCAAATAGATCAGGGTACTTAGCAACTACTCCCTCTATCTCTGGYGGCATTTTCACCGGCTCTCCTGCARCAGAGACATAGACTAMRTACATACCCTCTTCCTGATTTTGCTTATAATAATTATAGAATGCGGCCGCGCACATGCACCCATAGGACTCAATCAGACTACTAGCTTTGAACTTATGTAATCTGGCGGTCCTTCCACCTGGCAACGTGTGTTTGACCACTTTTCGGTCCCAGTCAAACTGGGGCTGTGCTACAGAGAGGTAGTACATACCTAGTAACATATCCATTGGGAGCTCATCACTTACCAGGAACGAGACTCGATGTCTCAAATCCCCTCCTGCGTACGGGAAAACACACTCCACATCATGGAGGTAGTCATTAAYTACCATACGCTGTTTGTTGGCACAGGTCGACTCCACAGGTCGACTCAGGCGCTGCACTTGCCCCTGTAAGCGCAACCTCTCAACGCACGCGCGACTCATAAAGTTTCTAGTCGAGCAAGTGTCRTAATAGGCTCCGGCCTTACGGCCTCCTATGACTACCTCGCTGACAAACATTTCACTCTTAGGGGCTTTAACTAACGCCGTCCAAGAAGCTAGTGGATCTGATCTAGACCACTCATGCTCTAGCTCCTCTAAGGATTCAAACACATTCATCGAACAGAGGGTCGACGGGTCTGAATGTGTTTGCGGGACGACTGAAGAGTCTGTATCTTGGGCCATCTCTCGCGAAGGTGAGGGTGAATCCACCATTTCGACCCTAGTAGGAACAGCTACTATCCCTACTGGCCCGACGTGTTTCCCGGAGCATTGCTTGAAGAGCTAGCAACGTTGCTTCCAAAGGTTTGAGAGGATCCTACTGCCGACCCCATAGTGGGCGGGATCTTCCCGGTGACCTTCCTATTGCGGCACTTGTACATGTTATGACCATATTGGCCACACTTGATACAAGCTTGCCATGCCCACCGATCTCTCCACACGTCCTCAGCTAGACCCGCTTTCTCCCATGGGGGAGCATTGGGGTCTGTTTGACTCTTCGACCGGGATCCCCTAGGGCGTCTACCGGTCCCTTTACCTTTTTGTTGGGTTACGGCGGCAACTACTCCACCCTCTGAAGTATCGCCGCCTGCCTCTGCACCTACTCCCTCCTGGAAGTTGCCGTCCAACTCGATGGTTGAGCCATCGTGGTCGACGAACATAATGCGACCTTTCGCTTTCCAGTTGGGAGGCAGTGTCTTCTTCTTCCCGTCTGTGACTGAGTTATGTCCATGCCCTATCTTTGCTTCTAGGTCTAGGGCCACCTTGCTGAACGAAGGAAAGTTGTGCATATTAATGTTGGACTCTTTTGCCAACTGGTTCCTGAGCGGCAAAGATAAGGTCCTCAGGTACGAAGTGAGCAGGACCTGGGGGTCATAGCGTACCCCTGGAACACAGATTAAACTCTCTACAGCGTCTGTGGCCTCCCTTACTGACTTAAACTGCCTCGTGTGCAGTGTCAGGATCGCATCAGTGGCCCTTTGAGCCTCCTGCGGATCATGCCACCTGTCTTCCACCATTTTCAGGAAGTCCTCCAATTTTTGAGAGGCTGCCCAAGAGCGGAAGTCATGACCGTACCCCTGGAGTTGCACTAACCCACTCAACCATCTCGCCGCACTACCTTCTAGGTAGGAGGCAGCCACAAGCACTTCTTCGTGTGGCAAGGTGAGTTTACACCTGACGTAGACCGGCACTGCCCTCAACCAAGTGTCGAGGTCTTCGCCTCTCTTGTCTCCTGTAAAAGGTTTGGGAGCGGCGATGGCCGTCTTTGGAACCCACTGACTTTGTCTCGGTCCCTGCACCAACCCGGGCTGTGGACCCGGCGAYACAGGTTGTTGTGCTAGCTGCTGGGGCTGTGTGCCTTGAGGTTGCACTGACTGTGAGACAGCAGGCTGCGTGGTAACTGCAACCTGTGACGGACTTGGAGTAAACACTGTCTGAACAGGAACCTGCAAACTACTCCCTGCTGTTACCCCTCCTGACAGAGGCATGCCCAGGGAAACGATAGCAACCGATGAAGGGGCTACATATGGGGATACCCCAGTCACCGGTGGAACAGAAAGAGGAGGATATGGCACGGACCAGGCACCAGGCCCTGCTGGTGATGGTGCTGCCTGAGCACGCCCTGCCAATACGGCTAGGCTTTGTTGAATGTCCTGAAGGAGGGTAGTTTGATGCTCCTCCATCTCAATTACACCTAGCAGGGCCCTCCTAACTACCTTCACATCCTCATCCATATGCGTTAGGTCCATCGTTTCTAACTCCTCTATGTCTGTCCCTCTCTGTTGCATCCTGGCTCTTCTTCTAATCATCATATCTTTCTCTCTTTTTATCTTTCCTAATGCCTGCTGTAGCTGTGCCTCTTGCAGGGATGCCTGCTGGATGGCTACATCCTCTGGGGACAACACCGCGGGTTGGCTTGCCATTAAGCCAGTGGACTGACTCACGGTCTGCACGACCGTGGACCCGGCGGTACCTGAACTTCCGGCTTGGGAAGTCATGGTTGTGGTAGCCATGGCTGCTATAGCACTGGCCTCTCTAGCAAATGCCCTGCTGGCCTCGGCTGCTCTAGCTCTCCTTTCCCTTTGTCGGTGGAACAGTTCCCTA